CCAATGTGAATAAATTGTTTATTTTTTGTGACATGACTTTTTCCTACATTATAACTTTAAAAATCTCAGAGGAAGAGGAGCTTTATATACGTAATTATTACTACATATTGACAAAACATTTTTACCACATACAATAATGCACTTTTTTAAAAAATTCAGCTTAAGATCTACTGATCTATAAAAATTTCCTGTTTATCTTGAAAGCTAGCCTAAAGACTCTTAAACACAAGAGCACTTACTTCTAAATGAACACATATAACATTACAGTGTTAAACTGTCCTTTTCCTATATAAGAACCATAAGTTATGTTGGAGGACATATTATTTTATTTTATCTTAGAAATCAACTGGTTCCTTGAATAGTACTGAAAATAAATACTGAAAATTACTCCAAAGGTTACATTTGAGAATAATTAATCAATTAATATGATTTGTTACCAACAGTTCAATTTATGAGTTACATATATTCTACATATATTCTCTATAATTGAACCATAATATTCTTTCAGCTTTTACTTTTCAAGCTGTATCATTGATTAAAACAAGCCTTGGTAGTACAGTGGTTTAATGCACCCTGTTATTAACACAGCTGCCTGCAATTTCTGCAGGTTCGAATCTTACCAGGCTCAAGGTCGACTCAGCCTTCCATCCTTTCTAAGGTAGGTTAAATGAGGACCCAGTTTGTGGGGGCAATAAGCTGACTTTGTATAAATATACTAAAGTATGAAGGCTATTGCTTAACGCATTGTAAGCCGCCCTGAGTCTCCGGAGAAGGGTAGCATATAAATCAAATTTAAAAATAAAAATAAAAAAATAAAACAACATGTGTAGGTCTACATTATTATTTGGGTGGCGGGGGGGAATCTACAATAAAAAAGATCAAAGTATTATAGAGTTTTTGCTTTTCTTCTAAACAACTGAAACTATTTTTAAATAATCAGTGTAATAGCAATCAACAAGGAAAGATCAGGAAGGCTTTTTCATGTTAATCATATGTGAAGTTTTGTGTGCATCTTTTGAGTAGCATCTCCATTTATACCTTATTAAATTATTAACATTTATTATATTTCCTCCTCTCATCCCATATGAAAAAGAAGATTTTTAGCAGTTTCAAACAGTGTGTGTGTGTATGTTAATCTGTATGTACATTCTGTACATAGATTATGCAATTACTATTGCTAGTGCTCTGTTATACACAGAAAGATCAAAAGAACTTTGCAATTAGTTCTGCAAACACAGCGGCTTTAAATGTACCTTTAACAATAAACTCTCAGCTGGCATACCGATGCCATAGATATTCATATGGAGGTGAAACATTTGCACTTTGAAAAAGAGGCTGTCGTCTCATACGGTTACTTGATACAGATTTTGCCAAAACACCATTTGTTTTAACCATGGCTTGAAGAAAACTTTTGTTACTTATTTCATATAAAATGCTAACTATAAATGGTTTACAAGCCATGTCTGGTTTAGCATATCATTCCAAAATCAAATGGAAGTGGTGAGTGAACAAAGCCAATAAGGATTAGTAGACTGTTTATTAATATCAGAAAAACTGTCAACAGGTTTTGCAATGGAAAAGCTATTAAAAAGGCTTCTGCTGTAATGTCAAGGATTTTTTTTAACATCAGAGTTATTTTTAAAGAATTTTACTGGCAAAATATATGATATCTGGAAAAAGAACATATAAGGAAAAATTGTATTTATACTTGAAATTTGTATTCAATATATTAATGGTTAATATATCACTATTTTTTTGCTGAAAAACCTCAATTAAATATTTGAAGTATGTTTACATGCACGTCGTGTGTGTGTTTGTTTGTTTGTTTGTTTGTGTGTGTGTGTGTATATATGTATGTTTGCAGTCACTAAAATGAAAGAAGTGGGAAATAGTCACTTCCAACAATGATATCCTACATGAATTTTTGAAAACTTTCAAAGACAAATTATTTTTCATGCCTAACTGATGGCAAATACCTCTTTTAAAATCATAAAAAGTTAGATACTCAAACAAGAGGCTTCAAGTAAAGGATAAAGAGACATAATAAAGAAACTAGCTGCCTTTAGTGGCTTCTTCCAATCCAACATGCATAGGCTTAGAACTGGCATTTCCTGAAAACCGACTTGTGTGAAATTAAACCAATTGAAACTACTGGTAAGTAAAGGCATATTCCAGATTATGCATCCAAAGGAAGATGGGGAGCACTGTTGATAGGAATAAAAAGCATAATTTCTATGCCCATTCAAATAAAGTTATCATCTAAACTGGCCTAATATGTTTTTGACTTGGAGATAACAGTCAAATTATTCTTTGGGACTAAGGACTGAAAAGAGAATCACCTCTATTGAAAAAAATGGCACAGTCGAAAAATGCAACCAAATAGAACTTCAGCTAGATTTTCAAATTACAAAGTATAAATCTAAATCCCATATTTATAAATAAATATATAAAATTACTACATCTACTGGTTAAATAGTTTGTATATTTTTGTTTCTTCATTTTAGAAAGAGAAATATTATTTTAAACAGAAATAATAATATATGGTCATCTACATTAGACGCTTAGTTGAGGTGATGAACAGAAAGGAGGCAGAAGACTATCTTTTCAATTTTTCCACTCTCTATAGTAAATCGGTGTATGCATGCAGAAAATGAGATTTGGAGTAGAAGAGAAATCTACTCAACTGATGACAGCCACCACTGGAAATCAAATGTGGCACAGGAAACCAGATCCAGATCTATAATACACCCTTCTGAATTTCTCCAAATTTGCAAAACGAATATTCAACAACCAAATCCTTTAGCCGATTGCTATAATTTGCACACCAAGAGGCTTTAGTTGTGTGTAAAAGTAATATCCTGGCTCCACCTCGTGGTGAAAGTGTGCTCAGCACAAGAGACTGGGGGGATAGGAGGAGTCAAGAAAATGTAGTCTTTCTCCTCCATCCACCCCACCCCCCAGAGGTAAAATGATCTAAAAGGAACTAATCAAATATTTGAATTCTCCTTGTACTAAATTAAATTATATCAGTCTTCATGAATCATTTTATTATACTTAGAAAAGTTCCTTCTGACAGATAATATGCTCATCAAGATCAAGCATGTGTTTTCCATTTCTGGGAACACACGGAATTTTCTGAAAGCCATTAATAACACAGGATTTATATACAAGATAAATTCAATTTCTTTTTTCAGTTAATGGTCAATTAATTGAGGCAAGCCTGACTGAAAATATTGCTCAAATGTCATTAATCTAACAAAAATTAACTTTACAATTTTTTGCAATCAGGAGAACATGATTTTACGGTAATGTTATTCTATACTGCAGCACAATCCCTATCTTATTTAAAGGTCACATTAGCTTAAAGTACTGAAATCCATCACTGTAGGGGCATTTATATTGAAAGTGAAACATCTTCAGCATTCATTACATATGTATTTCTGTTAGTTCACTGTTTGTTATTTGGTTGATGTACTCTTCCCTTGTTACTTTCAGTGTTCAGGTTTTCAAATAAATTGATTCCACCAAGTCACAATTTTGTTCAACATATAATATAGTTTTTGTCTGCTACGACAATATCACAGACGTTTATAAACAAAGAACTCTCTACCATAAACCAAGTATTCATTCATTTTTGTTGTCTTATCTCTGAAAATTCACCATGGAATGCTTGGAGGCCTCCTCATTTCATCCCCAAAGCAGTAGTGGATAGACTAGGAAGTAACTGAATTGAGAGTGGCCTGAAGTTACCCAGTACTTCATGATTGAGTTGGCATTTGAATATAGTCCAAAATCAACATCTGAATAACTACAGTGTTTTCTCCTACCCTGGCAACAAATAGAATGAGATCTGAGAAAAATGAAAATGGCATTAAGAAGATAAGCCATTTTTAACCTACGTTCTTAATAAGCCCAGGGACAGGTTGAATACAAGCACTTGTTTATATAGCCAGCCAGGGTTTGCTGTGGATTCGTGAGAAGATACAGTGGTTTCTGATTCTTAAACTGTGTCGATTTGTTTACAATTTTTCATTTGGTTTCTTTTCGATTTGGGTGAACGATAAGGAGTTTTGTGGGGTTATTTTTCTTAGCTTGTGTTTATGAGAATGTGTCAGTGAGACAGTTGCTCTGTTGAGGATATATGGAGTTTCAGTGCAAACACAACAGCAATCTATAATTAAGCGACCCACAATTCTGACCTTAAAACCATGACTTCAAAATCTTGGGGAGTGGTGGTGGTAAGATTTCAGAAAGCATCCAATTCTGATTTAAAATTATGTAAATTTGTATTTTATTATTATTTTATAAAAATATGCATAATATATTCCTAACATCTTACTATCTTATGATGGTTTTTAATCTTAGAAAGCAATTGAAATGTGTAATTATTTTTTTTTGCAGGATTCAATCTAGGTCGGTCACTGGGACCAAAGGTTTAATCTTCTAAGCTTTCAGACCTGTGCTGAGCCCGTCCTCAGGGAACTTCTCTCCACCGGAAGGTGTGCTTTGGACTATACTATGAATAATATTTAAGTTATGCCTGATTGGGTATGGCTTCTTATTGGTTGATTGGGGCGTTGGCCTGCTTTTTGTTATCATAGCTGAAATTTTTGTTACTATATGGGTTTGAAAAGTCACCTATTTTATGTGGTGAATTATCTCCAACCATTATCACACTGCTGATAACAGATTTTATTAATGCCTGTTTTGTCTTTTTAAAAATGAAGCTAACATCTAGAGTGCTCTTATTAAATACATTTGCGGTTGCAAATTAAATACACTATACTTCTGACCTGCAATAACTCTAAAAAAAGCCTTATGTAACCCTTCCTCAACCAGATTCCTCCATATATGCCAATAATGCAACTGCTGGAATTTATTTGACCAGCATTTGACCAAAGTTACTGGGAATAGTATCTAACGGTTAACAAAGGCCACCTTTTGTAAAGATGCCTAAGTGAAGTCATCTATAACATACAAAAAAGTGTCAGGAAATGTACCGTAAAGTGTTCCTGTGACTTGAAATTTTCATCCAGATAAACCCGGGCTCTATTGTAGTCTTTCATAGCATCACTAGATAGCAATTCTCTGGGGAAAAAAATTTAAAAAGAAAATATACAGAGTAAATTTCTTTTGAAATATTAAGGAACTCTTTGCGAACAATCAAAACATATTAACAGCCTCTTATTTTTTGGGAGGTTATTGGAGAAATCGGTTACAAATGAACAATGGAAATAAATTGCTGTATTTAATTAATTGCTATTCTATTGTTTATTTGTTGAGTTCTCCTTCACAAGTCAAGCCATGAATATTTGCAGGCACCTTTCAACTATGTTACACTAAAAGGAATGTTAGTGTAATAAAAACGAGAGGGAACTTCTTTCTAGTGCTCAGGAGAGGGCACTGTTTCTCTTTTTTCAGCAAAAGAAAAAAACATTTCTTTTTATATTCACTTATGTGGTAAAAGTATGTCTAAAAAAATTATACTCCAAGAATAAATTATTACTAAACCACATCAGACAGAAGACCTGTGGGGTCTAATTCTTTGAATTGGAATACAATTACTGTTCTGCAGAGGTAAAATAATCAGAAAAAAGTATCCATTCAAAATGGAAAGTAAAATAGCATAAAGTAGTCAGCATTATCAAAGGAGGTAACTATCTCAGGTGGTTCTATTATTATTATTATTTTTATTTTTGAACTATCAATAAACAGATTGACCCTAACTCAAAATATAAAAATCTGGACATTAGAAACCTGGAAAATTGATTGTGTTTTTGTATGTTCCTTCAAGTGGCTGGTGTGTGTGTGTGGGTGTGGGTGTGTGGGGGGGGTGCTTTTATTTTACAAAAAGTACCATATTTTCCGGCGTATAAGACAACTTTTTAACACATGAATATCTTCTCAAAAGTCGGGGGTCGTCTTATACGCCGGGTGTCGTTCTCCTGTAACCAGGCAGACCAGCCCGAAAGGCTCTGACAGCCTTAAATGGCTCTGGCGATCCAAGCTCTGATGATCCCAGCTGAGTTGCCTGCTAATCAGGCAACGCAGCTGGGATCGCCAGAGCCATGTAAAAGGAAAAAAGTTTTCCCCCTCCAGCTTGCTTACCTCAGCTGCTAGTCGCAACACTTGCCTTGCTTTGTTTGCCTGAATCCATTCCATCAGCAAGCCACTCCCTGCCTGCAATCAAGCAGGCAGGAAGTTGTGGACTTCAACTCCCAGAATTCCTCAGCCAGCAAAACAAAGCTGGCTGAGAAATTCTGGGAGTTGAAGTCTACAAGTCTTAAAGTTGCCAAGGTTGGAGACCCCTGTACTATTGGGTAAGTTTTTTCCCCCTTTGGGAGCTTTAAAAAAAATAGTTAATTGGGGTTTTTTTGTTGTTGTTGTTCTTTTTTAGACCTAGCCATTTAAAGTTTAGGAAGTTTTAAATTTAGTTTTCATATAAAAATAAAAATAAAATAAAATAATATTTGTGCAGCTTTCTGAGATTTAGTGTGTTTCTGTAGTGTTTCACTCTAACTACACAAACACACAAAATCTCACAAAGCTGTATGTGGAATTTTGTGTGTGTAAGGTGTGAAAGTTGTTTTTTTTGGCCTTTTTGTGACTATGTGAGGTTCCTGCTTGTTGCAGGGGCCATTTTGGGTTTAGCAGAGCTGCTTTTACATTGTGAGTGAGCCAGTTGTGTTGTGTTGTGTGTGTGTAAAGTGTGAAAGTTGGGTTTTTTGGGGCTTTTTCTGGCTGTGTGAGGTTCCTGCTTGTTGCAGGGGCCATTTTGGGTCTAGCACAGCTGCTTTTACATTGTGGGTGGGCCAGTTGATGTTTTTTAATTTTTATTTGGTATGCGTTGGAAGAGGGGTAATCTTATATGGCGAGTAAAGCCCAAACCCTATATTTTAACAGGAAAAGTTGGGGGTTGTCTTATACGCCCAGTCGTCTTATACGCCGGAAAATATGGTAAGCAGACACATTTTTTTAAAACAAGAGGAACTGTAAATTATAAATGCTTTCAATAAGAAAGAGGAGTTTAGGGTGCAAAGGTCTATGGCTTCATCACAGGGTTAGATAAACAAACACTGATTTGGTATAAAGCAGCTTCCTAGCAATCTTATTTTCCAAAATGGTTGAAGTAATAGCAAGACAAGTCAAACAAGTAGTGAAAGCAATTCTCCTTAGAGAAGTAATATTGGATTATAAAATAGCGTACTTATTGTAAAGGTGAACAGAGTAGTAATTTGAAGAGGGTATCAAATGGTTTGCATTTATTTTCTTTTCAAAAATAATCAAAGTTGACTAAGCAAAAGTATTTATCTAGTTTTGGCCTGACTTTTTTGTTACTTACTTAACAAACTTGTCCACGTGAGACATAGATGCTTCATAGTTTTTCCCTCCAAACTCTTGACAATGTAATGCCATGAAGTGTGGTTTATGTGCATGTACAATCTGCAAAATAAAATAAATGTATGAATATCGCATTCCAAATGACATTAGATGAAGCCAGCTAAAAATCAATGTTCAAACAATCACAGTAATGATTCACTTCAAATCAAAATTTATCAAATCCCATTTACTCTACATACTTTTCTGAATACTATGTTAAGGTTTCTGAGTCTATAAGGTTTCAGAATGCATATTTTCTTGTATCGTTTTTGTGCAGTTTTTTTTACAAAAAGGCTATCAAGACAGAAAAGGACATGTAAAATATTGATCAATAAATCCTTGGGTACAGATGAATAAATAACATCTACTGCTCATTTGCATGATACTTTCTAAATTAAATGTGACAGATCTGCAAAGCAAATGAGATGAAAGGTTTTATGGAACTGGAATACCTGTACTTTTTATACTTGGAAAACTAGTATAAGTTTTCTTCTTCTCCAAATCAGTAGTATTTAAATTAGCATGAAGAACTTTAAAAGTTTTGACAAATAAAATACAAGAAGTGGGGATTCAGTTTATATATACATAAACCAAACTAAAATATTAAGTTGTGAAATAGGCAAATAAATGAGCAGCTTTCATTCCTACGCAGATTAGGAAATTGACAATGAACTACTCCTTGGGGCCATGTTAATTTATGTTTTTCCTTTTGCTTAACTGTCAGGAACCTGTTGAAGATACACTGTCCTAGTAGCTATTCTGCCAGACTAATGAGGCTTCCAAGTGATGCATCGTGAAGACAGCATAGCGGTGTTTCTTGCATTGTCTGGCTTAATTTCCCTTCCCAGTGAAAATCCCTGCTGATGGTAAAAACAATCACCAATCTCTGTTCTTAATGCATGGTAAAGTAGGACTGGGCCAGGATAGATAGGGGCTTAGATAATACCATTCAAAATTTCAAGCTGCTGACAGGCTACTTGTCAAAGCCAGTGACCTTCTCCCATTCCTCCCTGCTGGCAAGCCGTCCCAAGCCTGAGGGGCCCGGGGCTGCCCCGTCCTTCTCCTCCCCCCATTCCTCCGAAACCAACAAAGCCGCCCCCTCAGTCTCCATTGGCCACAGCTCCAGCTCATCCTCCCCCACGGATTCAGGCTCCAACAGGAGCATGACACAGTGTTTTACAAGATAAAATATACAAAGTTGAGTACACAAATTAAAAATACACAAATAAAAGAGCCGCACCCAGTTAAGAAACATAGAACAGAATTAACAAAGCCAAATGTTAACCATAATGCAACTAAAATGGAACTGCATCCTAAACAACCTTTGTTGAGAGTTGCTTTTAGAAGGTGGGAGCCAACTGGCTGTCCACTGAGAAGCTATCCAAAGGCCTGGTACTGCCATCAAAACACAGGGTTTCCAGGTCTCCCTTACCCCGCTGAAGGGAGATTGTACCAGCTGCCCCAGTTTCAATGGGAGAATATCATCCTATAGAAAAGTTGGTGACAAGACATGCCAAGGTTTATAGCACCAGTATTATAAATTATCCCTGAAAGGCCATTGGTAACCACGATAGAGTCTGCAACGTTAATATAATGTACTGCCACCTTTTAACCCTAATTATAACATAGAGTGCTGCATTCTGAACTAACTGCAGCCTCTGAATGGTCCTTAAAGTTGTGGAACATGTTGCAAGAAATGGCAACACATAATGGAATGTGGGAATGACCTTTGGGAAACGAGGGAAGAGATGCTGCCTAAGAAAAAATCAGACAAAAGATGAAGGAGCCCCCAATGGCTTCACCATTAGAGAAAGAAACTTCGAAGGAATGGATCAAACAATTGAAAGTGGCAGCCAGGAAGTTTACCTTCAGACTTGCAGGTTCTGTTAATGTAGCCTCACAATAAAGTAGATTTACCTCATCTAATCATGTTTCCTGTCTGGTTTACCAGGGAGGTCTGACACGACAACAGAATGAATCACTGTAACAAGATCTCCCGCCCCCAGATGTAGCTTCCACCTGCTGTTCTAATAATCTTGTTTTAAATATTTTATTTTTAAATTTATTGTGGAGGTATTAACGCTGGATTTGTTTGAATCCTGTTATGATGCATGTTTTATTGTTTTGCTGTAAAGCACCATGAATCAACGAGCTGAACTCCGTAATGAGCACTTAAATTTTAAAAAATATAAACTAATAAATCATAGCAAGATTTTAAAATGGGAAGTATCCTTGATATATTTAAAATAATTCCATAAAAGACCGAAATAAAATAGTCTCAGGAATGTAGTTTATATAGTTTACTTTATTGTCATTGCACATGATACAACAAAATTAAATGCCGTTTTCAGCGTACATTAAAACTATAAAAATAAAAACACATACATTCTATATAATTGAAATTGAAAAAAATAGTCAGATTATTTGTGTGTGTGTGTGTTTGTGTGTGAGAGAGAGAGAGGGAGGGAGGGAGGGAGGGAGGGAGGAGAAGAGAGAGGGAGAGGGGAGGGAGAGAGAGGGAGAGGGACACAGAGAGAGAGGGATGGAGAAAGGGAGAGAGACAGAAGGGGCAGACAGACATCTATATGTGGGTATGCGGGGGGGGGGGGACAGAGAAAACACTTACAAATTATTGAGGTACACAATAGATACAGAATTAAGCCAAAATAGTGGTTAAGAGTAAGGTTGAGACAGAACACATGCAGACAGAAGGCTAACGGTATTCACTCAAATATAATTTTAAAAGAAAAAGGAGGAAATATACAAGGAAAAATTATATGACTGAGAACACCTTGGCTCTTCTACCACCACAAAAAAGGAGGTGGGGTGAAGACTAAGATTACTGGTTTTGGCCATCTAAAATTATCTGTCTGAATGAAGAATGAAGTGGGACAAAATGGAATTCTTCCAGTTTTGAAAGCTCAAATGGGAGAGCCGCAAAACTGCTAACCACATGAGTTAGCTTCTCATTTTTGGCCCAGTATGTAATAATAGAAGGGGTGGAGCTGTAAGATTATTTCTAGGAAACAGAAGCATTACAGAAAGCCATTCATCCCCCAATCATCTCACAACTGGATTACAGTGATGTGCTCAGCATGGGGCTCTCCTTGAAGACCATCTGGCAACTACCGCTGGTTCAGAAGGCAGCAATGCAGGCACTGATGAGGGCATGTTATGCATGTGTGACAGATGCTTTGTGACTTGAACTGGTTCCCAGTTGGCTTCTGGTACAATTTGAAGGGCCCGGTATTTACCTTAGAGACTTTTGTATCATAGGAGGCCTGGCTAGCTGAGGGATCTCTTATCATCTGTTGTCTCTGCCTATGCATTCAGTCCAGTAGAGTGAGTGAACTACACATCCCATCAATTAAAGAATATCATCTTGCAGACCTAGGAAGCACTCCTACTCTACTGCAATTCCAGCCTTTTGGAATGATCTCATCCCTGGAATTTTGTGTGGCTATCATCCTTATGTTCTTCAAGAAACTACTGAAGACCTGGTTGTTGTTCCAGGCCTTGGGAACAGGATGATTGTGGAGGTCCCCTTTTTATTTTGCTTTATTTTAATCTGATTTATTTTGGACTTTTTGTATTTTTCTATTCTGGTTGGCTGCATTTCTTTTAATATGTTGGACTTTAATTGTAAGTACCCAGAGTCATTCAGGAGTTGGGAAGTCTATAAAATAAATTAGCTAACTTAAACAAGGGAACATTAGGTTCAGATCTGACTTTTTTCTGAGTTTATGTATTATTCTCAGCTTTTTTTACAATAACATGTACCCTTGAATGAACTTTTAAAATCCCTTTGTTTTGTTGTCTTGTAGAAATGGTGAATCCTCTGGATTTCAGCTATAAATTGCAAAGCATTTTAAAAACAAACATATCCAAAGAAATCAACATTCTGAGCACAAGCATCCACAGGCTACCTCTCGATTATATGGGAAGTTCCTTATAGGCCTTTCGCTGGCAAATCATATGACCAAAAGAAAAACTATAATTAAATTTATATTTTGAGAAAGTTAAATAGCCAGTTCTTTTTTTAAAAAAAGATTTATAATGAGAGCTGCTTTTTTAAATATAGAATGTTCTTATGTGCTGTTTTGCAATTTCCACTCTTCTGCAACCATAAATCTGCTTCTTCTTCCAACCGTGTTTCTCCAAAAAGAAGCCCTAATGCGTCTTTTAGAGCAAAAATAATAATAATTAAAGACCGGGTCTTCTTTTCGGAGAAACATGGTAGCTACTGTATAAGAAATGAAAGCACTGCATTCAGTCTGCTGCAAATGTAATAAAAGTGCAATCTACTAAAATCAGCTTGGTTCCATACTCTAACTTATAAATGCAAAGCATAAAGTGCTGGTTGCAGCCAGACATGTTTCAATTTATATCTGCATGAACTTTCGGGTTTCTATCTAATGTTCAATTATTTTTATAATACAGGTAATCCTCAACTTACAACCATTCATCTACGAACTGTTTGAAGTTACAATGGCATTGAAAATAGCGATTTATGACCGGTTCTCACATCTAAGACCATCACAACATCCTCACAGAGATGTGATCAAAATTTGGATGCTTGGCAACTGACGTATATTTACAATGGTTGCAGCATTCTAGTTATCATGTTATCACTATTTGCGACTTTTCCAATTGGCTTCTAACAAGCAAATTCAATGTGGGAAGCCGAATTTGTTTAATGACCGCATGGTTCACTTACCTGAAGTGATTTGCTTAACAATTATGGCAAAAAAAAAAAAAAAAAAAGCCATAAAATCGGGCCTGACTCATTAAACGATGGAAATCCTGATTCCAATTGTGTAAGTTGAGGACTACCTGTAGATGAGAATAGGCTTATGCTGATCATTCTCTGGACTGAGCTCTGAACTCCATGGAGCTAGGGCCGTGATGGCGAACCTATGGCACAAATGCCACAGGTGGCACGCTGAGCCATAATAGTGGGCATGCAAGCATTGCCCTAGCTCAGCTCCAGTGCACATTCGTACACCGACCAGCTGGTTTTCGGGCCTTCCGGTCCCACCAGAAGTCAGCAAATGGGCCGTTTC